ATAGAACAACGCGCTCCGCAGTTTGGGAAACTTTCAGACTGAACCGATGTTTCTTTCGAATTGGGCCGAAATTATCCCAAAACGTCCCTCATCCTTTAATAAGTAATATATTTCACCCATAAAAGCATGAACAGTTCTTCAAAATTTTGTACTTATTGTTAATATTGCTGCTTTTCTTTATGAAATACAAAGAATTCGTTAGTGATGTCTTTATATCAGGGCTTCTAGAACTGTTGATGTTCGCAAAACGCTATTTGCGTATTGTATAGTGATAGGCTCTTATGAGTTTAATCAGGAGGCTACTTCTATGCCACTGAACCCTTTTTAGTACTTAGGATAAAAGCTACTTACGTTTTCTTTCTAAAAAACAGATTGTTTTTGAAAAAGTGAACTTGTTAGAGAAGAATAGTAAAACTATTTAAATGCTCCTGTTTTAAGTAATTTTTAGTATACGAGTTCACTGTCAATAACAATGGAGATGAGATTCAAAATGAACTCATAAAACTTGAGCCGAAGGATTACGTTCTTTTAAAATATTTTCAGCATATATTCCAGATCCATTTTCAATAATTCCTTGCTTCAAAGAAAAAAACGACTTTTTTAGGACCACATAGTACTAAGAAGTGCGAAAGAATGGAAATTTGCTCTTAATTGTCATCGACAGAGAAACACAAGTATTGTGTTACTGATAATTCCTAATTTTGCAATTTATTGAAGATTTCTAAAGATAAAGAATATAAAAAAGTTTGTTGTGTTGCAGAGGCAGCGATACACGGAACTGAAAAAGAGTATCTTCAACTGCAGAAACTTGCTTTTCCCACTGAATTTTGTTTTGAAGGCTTCTCGGTGGGGTGAAATTTCGATAGAAAATATTTCAAAATAACGTCAATATAATTTGGTTCAAGTTGAATGCTGATTTCCAGGATGATGCCGAACTTTATTGAAACTGAACACGTACTGTACAAACTACTTAAAACAAGAGTACTAATGTGTTTACAATGGAGGTGTTCGAACTGTACGTTGAATTTACCAGATATTTTTGCATCAATAGAAAGCCCTCACCGCCAAACTAACATGGTTAAACTATCAGCGGCTGTTGGCGTACCCTTATGCAGATATTCGATTTTTAAGATATTCATGGCTAGGGCATATAGGCGCTTTATGATTATTTATATCAACCTTTTTTTTACAATTGACCGAGTTCTTTACTTCTAGACTATTAGAATCTTTGTGAAGCTTATTAATAGAATTAAGATCACCCCCAATTACGATGCCTTTTGAGTGTTGGTGTGAGTGTGGGTTGATATGACAACAGAAACCAAAGTGTACCCATCCAAACACCCATACCCACACCCCCGCACTCCCACCCCCACCCACACTCAAAAGGTATCGAAATTGTGGGTGATCTTAATTCTATTAATAAGCTTCACAAAGATTCTAATAGTCTAGAAGTAAAGTACGCGGTTAATTGTAAAAAAAAGTTGATATAAATAATCCTAAAGTGCCTATATACCCTAGCCATGAATATCTTAAAAATCGAGTAACTCCATAAGGGTACGCCAACAGCCGCTGCTAGTTTAACCATGTTAGTTTGGCGGTGAGGGCTTTCTATTGATGCAAAAATATCTGGTAAATTCAACTTACAGTTCGAGCACCTCCATTGTTAGATATTCTTCCTTAAAAAGTTCAGTTTTTCAAAAACAAAACGGTATTCAGAAAGAATATCTGATAGACTTTCATTCAGACAATAGAACGCATCCAATGGTATTGAATTCGCCTGCTATATAAGCTGAGAAAATATTGTTGTGATACAGTACGAAAAATTCATATATTGTTTTGAAACCGGACAATCTCAAATTATCAAATGTTCAAATTTTTTAGTGCCTTAAAAGAAACTATCTTGACAAATTTATAAAAAGCACCCATTCTTTTTAATGGGTTTCAATATTCTGTATTGTCAAAATTTTCCTTAATTTTCGATTTAAGAAATTACCAATTCCTAGCTAAGCCAAGACATTCTTATTATCAATACAAGAAACGAGAAGAAATTTTGTGGAATTTAGTATTGTAAACAATTTGCTTTAAAGAATTTCCTTGTACTTCGAAGTACTTCGAGATACTTTGAGCTACTTTTGTACTTTCAAGGGTAAAAGTACGATGTTTTTCCTTTGATCAAACAACATTACTATACCAAGAAGAGCTCCTCAAGGAAGCGTTTTTAGGACTGTAGCGTATATTGTTGCTCATTATGACTTACAACAAATATTTGAGAGACCCAAAATAACCATCTTTATGTTGATGATCTGGGAGGCATATAAGTCCCTAATATCTATTGTAGATTCCAAAAACAAATAATAGATATTGAACAACGAATAAAGAAAGACTTGGAAAAAATGCGTGGTTATGTGAAGCAATGGTATCAACCGGTAAATAGCAAAAACACAGTTTGTAACATTCACGTATATTCTCAAGCATCCTACATTAAATATTAGCTATGATGGTCCTGTTGTTGAGCAGACTAAAGTCTTTAAGTATGTAGGATAACAACTGGACTCTAGATTTTCCTTCAAATACACCGTTGACGATCAACTGAAGAAATATCGCCAAACGTGCGCAATAATGAAACATATCAGAGACCGAAACGAATGACAAAATATCATTCGGTCCGATTCTCCTTTTCCGGACCTGAATTCGGATTCGATTCTGCTCTTCTGGTGTCTCAAACTTTTCACACCATTAGGCTCCGGTTTTCAAGACCGGGATTCGGATTCGATTCGTCTTTCCCGGTCACTCAAAAGTTTAATTCAATTCGAATTGACTGAAAAAACGAAATCGAATAGAATAGAATAGAATCCTAATCCAGTTCTTGAAAACCGGAGCGTAATGGTGTGAAAAGTTTGAGACACCAGAAGAGCAGAATCGAATCCGAATTCAGGTCAGGAAAAGGCGAATAGGACCGAATGATATTTTTGTCATTCGTTTCGCTCTCTGAAACATATCCATCTACAATTTAATACATTCCACAAACTTAAGTTGCTGTTCTTTAATGCATATGCATGGTTATATTTATATTCTATGGCAACGATCTATTGTCTCTTTTCAATTACAGTGATGGCAAGAATCAATAGTTTATATAGGCATTATCTACAAATAAAATATCATCTTTTTGAATATTCGACTAGAGATCTACACAACAGATTTCTCCTACCTACGTTGCAGTAGAAGTTTCAGAAGAGTCTAGTCAAGCGACTCGACAATATTGAGTGCTATGAGACAAGAACTAATTGCTTGCTATCTAATCAATAAACCCATTGTCAGCAAAACACGTCACCACTATATGGAAAAATATTGTATTCAATCACTGTCCAGAGGACGACCTAGTACACATCTGATCAAATTTTACCAAAACTCTCCTACTTTCTTTCACGAATTATTACAATTCGCTAGCCAAGAACCTTCTAATCAACCAGCTCAATCTGAAGGCTCAACTACTCCTTCGCATTCTTCCTAATATATTTTTTTGTAACTTATAACATTGACTCATTTCTAATTTTTTTAAATTTGTATTTGTATATTGAGTGCTAGGAAATTTATATGAAACGTAAGTTCCACTGAAAAAAAATAAGGTACCATACCAAACCTAAAAAGATTTAGTAGAGAGAAAAAGGGTTTCGCGACGTAAAAAAGACGTTTCGTGAGATGTACGGAACTTAAAAAAGTTCCGAATTTTGAAACGAATTCTGAACCTTTATAAGTTTCGTATCAAACCATGAAAATCTCCACGAAACCTCCAGAAAAAACTCGTCAATCAATAACAAGCAATTTGCAGGGGTCATGGGTTTTTACGAAACCTTTTGCAAGGTTTAGAATTCGTTTCAAAAAAAGTTCGGCATGGTACCTTATTTTTTTTCAGTGTACCAGGATCCATCAGGTGAATCCACTCAAATAAAGCTCCTTTAAAAACGATCGCTAATTTGAGATGATTCAAAAAAGTGTAAAGACATCGTGCGGAGGAGGGCGTTGTTTTGGATGGTTTTGGGCATGGGTGTTCGTAATTAGACAGAATAAGCTGCATAAATTTTTGTGTGTACTGTTAGTCTAAGCTTAATGCTGACCCGATATTTTCGTATGTGTCTTGCACAAAGGTTGTGTTTTGTGAGTATCGCTGTGTGCAGTGGTGGTTAGTAGGTCTGACTTACTGAATGTGAATGTTGGTGTCAGCGTGGAGTTTTGGGCAACGCTCTGTAGGCATTCGTGTGTTTCTACGTGTCTGCGGTGTAAGTGAGGATGGGCATGTCAATGTGAAAAACTACTATATATTACCTGCTCTACATATGTCAGTGGATATATGCCTGTGTTTTGGATCTCCTCTCTAATATGGATTGTTAGAGCTACAATAGAAACAGTCGTTGGGCCAAACCATTCGGTTATAAAACCCGAAAACAGATTCTTTAAAGACCTAATACACCTTCAAATGAGGGTGTGAGGGAGGGTGTGACGGAAAAGAAGAGTCGCCCCCATCCCCGTCCCGCCCCCGCCCCCCACCGTCACCCTCGGACGATTCCCTCGTCAGTACCCTGCACTTCATTCTAAAAAGTAGGTTTATTACCGAGCTTATAAGAAGATTCAGCAAGCTGTTAAATCAGAAAAATAATGTTTGCCAGGCACACGGGTAGAAACTTTTCTTATGAACCTTCCTAGATTCTGTATTAAAGCATTCGAGATATTCTGTTGAGCCTTGAACCTTGAACCTTTTTTAAATCTTGCACAGAGGGTTTTATGTAGCCTATGGAACTTGGAAATGTTTAGAAGTAAAGATTCTTTGTATGTCTAGAGAAAGATCGCTTTTTGGTTTAATAGCTTGCCAAACATGCTTATAAGTTTGGTGATAAACATCGTTTTTAGAGTGTGAAGACATAGCTGCTCAACGCGAATCTGAATCTGAATATTAAATCTACGTTTTGGTTCAATTCATCCCTGCAGTTGACGATAGGATCATTTCAGAGGAAGCAATATTCTGGCTTACCTTCATAAAAAGTAAACGAAGTGGCGGCGTTGTCGAAAATAAGATACTTATTATTTTTGGCGGCCCATTCTGTATATTTTTTTATATCAACAACGTGACCGAACACATTTGTGACGATAATACCATCGACAGCATCAATATCAACTAAATCTAGGTTCAACCCAAGATCGTTATCTATGTCTACTATGACTGTACCGGTTAGATTGCATTGTGCTGATGTTGGGAAGGTGAATGCTTGAGTTACAAATCTGAGCTTTTTCTTTTGATAAATCTGCAGGCCACCAATAATAGCGTGCAAAGCTGCACTTCCATTATTCGTTAGAATGACGGCTTTGGTTGGATTTATATCAAGTATTTTTCCCAAAAAAGCTTCTAGCTGCTCTACACAAGGTCCAAAATTTGCAAAATGGTTCTGCTGAATCGATCGTGCCAAGAGAGATTCTATGCGAGTAAAGTTAATTGGCTTACGGGCAATCCAAACTAACCGTCGATTTGCAAGGTTCTCATTTATCGTTTTCGTTAATTTCACAATACCGACAGCTGTAGTCTTGTCAGCAACATTTGCGAGTACTGTTGCGCCTGCTCCGATAATGCTTTCTTGGCCAATATATACTTTGGGTATGATTTGAGAACCAACACCTACTAAAGTTAAATTTCCGACGTGTACTAAACCACACAAATGGCTACCAGGTGCAATGTGCGCAAAATCGCCAATCTTACAATCATGATCGACAGATGCCGATGTATTGATAATACTATGCAAACCTACAACAGCGTGAGGACCAACTACTGAGCCTGCGCAGATAACCGCTCCTTCACAGATATTAGCAGATTGAGAAACACTAGAGAATGGATGAACTAGAGTAGCCCACTTAGCTGTTGACGAACCAAAAGTAGTTTGCAAGATTCTTTCAACTATTCTTTTTCGCGCAACATTATCACCAATGCAATTAATCAACGAAGTCTGTATTGTTGATGCGCTATTATTGTACTGCTGGATTAAATCGTCAATAGTGCCAAGGTATGGTATAGTTAGATTTGAACTCTTTTCATTGTCATCATAATAGCCTGCCACTAAAAATTGCTTCGCTTTTGCATTGATACAGTCGATTAAATCAAGTACAACACCAGAATGCAATCCCCCTCCAATTAGTGCAATAGTTTCTGGTAGGATAGGTCTTTTGATTGATTTCTCAAATGATTCATTAGTTTTATCGTTGTTCGACATATATTCCTAAACAACTGAAAAATTTAAAAGCAAAATATCGTGTATTCTTGGCTAAAACCGAAGTAGCCATTTAATGCATGCATGTAATGTGAGCCAGTGAACTCACGATCAAATGGCTGTTGATAAAAATTATACGAAATGTGTGAAGTTTGAACACATGACAGCATATAGTGATATCGTAACTGATATTTAGTTCTCAATCATATGCGTATACCCGCATACAATGAGGAGAACTCATTCCGAGCTCTTCAAGTAGCCCGATATGTACGACATGTATCAGATTGGATTGGAATGGGTCGGGATGGGTAGGATCAGATTGAAATGATCGAGGAGTTGCTATGGAATGGATAGAAGTGCATACATTTTTCGTAACTTTGAATTCGAATAAGATTATCTTAGTACTGTTAGAATTGTCAATTTTTATTGTTAGTGATGGTGTCAATGAAGCTGGACTAATAATCAGACATAAGTGGCAGTCCACCTAAGTCAGGGTCGAACCTGCTCAGTCGACGCCGTCAAATTCTACTCAATTTACAGAATGCTGTAGGGAAAGGAGTTCTAAGATTCTCACCCAAGCGATTTAAAAAAATGTTAAACTATTGATATCTTATGAGCATTTCACGGAGAGTCTCAAAAACTGCCCACCTTTGTAAGAAGGTGTCTCAATATGGCTAAATCTCACCACTTTATCTACTGATTCAACTGACAACTTCTATGGACTTGCAAACGATACCGCCGCATAAGATATTGAATCTGCCACCCCCTAGATTTCGATTTGGATATTCTAGAAAGATAGAGCATTAACAGCAGTGTCACATATCCAAAATTTTGGAGATGCCGCATCTCGCGCGAGAGATGTGGGCGTGGGTGTGGGGGATGCTCATCTCTAAAGGAGATCTTACATCTTCAGTGGTGAATGACCGGATCTCCCGACTGTGGGTGTCACGTCTCCAGCGGGAGACGCGGCATCTCCAAAATTTTGGATATGTGACACCAC